GCTGTGGGTTCCACGGAACAGGAGAGCTCTCTGATCATGCGTCTGCTCACATGCGCTTCCAAGCCAGGCCCCCCAAACCAGATTATTTTTTTAATAGAGAAGATGGTACTTCATTTCTTAAGAACAAGATCTTTAAATTAGAGTTCATAGAAAAAAAAAAACCATAGAGGCATCTTCATATTCCAACAAAGTTAAAAAAGAACTTTATGATATAGGCACTTTACAAAGATGTTAAATATAGTGCCGCTACAACACTCTAGTGGGGATCCCTCTCACCCACCTTAAATACAGAACATGAAAAATACAGGAAAAAAGCCAGAAGCAATTCACTTTAAGAGTGGAGTGTTTAAATAAATGGATTGGACACCTACCCCTAACAAGAGAAAAAAGGAAAGAGTGGAAGCTTGATGATATTAGAACCTAGGCAGTAAAGGGGTTAACCCTAACTGAAATAATTCAAAGGAAAAAAGAGAGAACTACTGCCATAGAATAGGTCAGATTAAAAGTTAACTTTTAATAGTATGATTAAAATAGAATAAAGAAACAATTAGATATGAAAGCTCTCAATACACCAAAAGGGAGTGTAGAGAGGTGAGAGATAAACAACAATAAGCTGATTATAATGTCCAGATTGTTAATCATTTGACATATAAACAACAGTTAAATAGTGTCTAAAAATTATTCTCAATTGATAATTTTAATTGGCTAAGTTGTTGCAAATTAATGCTTACTCTTGATTTGTGCTGTAAACCAATGTATAGATACTTGTCTCTGAGAGGTAGAAAGGAACAGCAATTGATAGGATTCCCAATAAGAGTTTATAAAAAGATATAGCAAAAAATTAACTGTGCCTTCTGGGGCACCTACCTCTACAGGACCCCACTAAATAAGCTAACAAGCAAAAGAAATAAATAAATCTGCAGGACGCCCCAAAAGATACCGTGACTGTTCCTACGAATTCTAAATGAGAGGATCACTTCTAGTTGATAAAAAATAATAAAGCTGTAGTTGCTAGTATCTAGGTGCTAATGATTGCTGTTTATATAGATGCAAAAATATAGGACCATTCTCACGATGCCTTTGAGGGGAACTGCCGCTGCTAAAATCCTAAGTTAGCTATTAGTCGGAAAAAGGAAGAGAGAAGCCCTGATAAGCGTACTCCAAACCCCAATCAACTATCTTAATAGAATTAATCGCTATACTAGACGGTTCAAATTGACCCCATTGCGAGATGTATAGCGTTCAAAATAAGTTAAATTAAATTCAATTTTAGTGGTTTGAGAGAGGGGAGCAATCTCCCAGGAAAAAACCCCGACGCGCGTTTCGCCGGTAAGGCGGCTTTTCAAGGGTCGTCTGGTCCTTTCCTTACAGTGGTTTATTTATTACATCCAATTCGCATGAATATAAGGATGGAGAAAACAAAATAAAGAAAGACAATAGTGTAAATCCGTATTTATAACTTAATATTTGTGAATATGTATATAGCTTGCCAACCCACATGATTTAGAGCCCTAATTAGATAGGCTCAAATCTCTTACGCTTATGTGCCATCTGGTGGCACCTTCCCCTTTAAATGGACACTGTATATTTCCTCAGTGAAAGGAGACAAAAGGTGACACAGTGGAGGACCATCTAGTGTAGTATATTTGAAAATAATTGTACCAAATATATCTCTTTAAGTGATTGCTCATCTTGTCTAGAGCCTAAACACAATCTTGTAAAATTATCGACGATTTTAGACAAAAGGGATATTGTGCCCAACTATTGAATCAAGCAGAGCACAAGGTCACTTTAAAAGACCGGAGTTCTTTATTAAAGTACAAGACTCCAACGAATTTAAAAGAAATGCGAAATCTGGCATTTATATGTGATTTCAACTGTCAAAGTCATAAATTAAAGAGAATTTTTAAAAAATATTGGCCAATTCTACACAACGATGCCCTTCTAAGTAAAATTTTGCCAGCCAAACCCATGTTCACATATAGGGGAGTGCCTAATTTAAAGGACAATTTGGTACGAAATCACATTAAAGACCCTATAGGGAATAAAAATGCTTTCAACCAAAAAAAATGTTTTTTATGGGTGTGGGATATGTAGTGCCTGTAGAAATAGTGGCCTAAATAAAAGACACGTCACCTCATTCTACAACCCCCAACAACATAATAATATTTTTCAGATCAAACAACTGATAACATGTTACTCCTAAAAAGTTATCTATCTTATAGTTTGTAAATCTGGGTTACCATATGTAGGGAGGACCACGAGAGCACTACAAACACATCGGAACACATCCGAAACTTTAAGAACGGGTTCGACAAACATAGCCTTTCAGCCCATTTTAAGGACCACCACAACTGTGATCCAACTCATCTAACATTCACGGGGATACAATTGGTACACACAAATTGGAGGGGAGGGGACCCGATTAGGAAGATGGGACAACAGGAGATGAAGTGGATCTTTAATTTAAATACTATGATCCCTATGGGTCTGAACAGTGATTTTAAAATGTGCCATTTTTTATAATTATTGTTTATAATGAAATTTTATCATTATTATATACATCTTCTATCTAGTTTTTTTAATCTTTACTTAAGTAGACATTTGTAAGAATATATTTTTTAATTAGTTGGTCTATAGTTCCAACGAGTCTTACCCCTTATGGAGTATTAACACTTACAAGTATTTGAAGTTCATTTAAATGCCCAACTTATATATAATTATGTAAATGATTTGAATCTTATAACATTAAGTACTTTTATAAGTATAATACATTAAAATTGCACTTTGAACTTTAAATTATGTATGAGTTGAACTATTCCCTGTGGGGAACTATTAATGAATTAAATAATGTCACATTTGAATCTAAATATGTATAAAATGTAATTGTATGCATCCAGCAAATGTATTAAACACAATCTGTAGACTTTCAAGTGGAATGATTTATAATGCATAACATCTTTCCTTTTTTTCCACTTCATAGGAATGGAGGATGGCATGGGGGTCCAGCCTTCTTTGCTCGGGCTTCCTGGTGACCCCCTCTTCATTTTGGGCCTCATCGTTTGGGGTGGTGAGTAGACTGCCTGTAGAATGTCCCCTTCTGTCCGTGGGGCAGTTGTCTTGTATTGGTTTCCATAGGCTTTTGTATGGGATTTGGTATGTTGTTTTCTAGGGGGTGGGAGATGATCTGGTTTATGGGCCCTGTATGCAGGAGGTTAGGGGCACAGGAGCGGTTAAATGGCCGTGCCACCTCTGGCTGGAGTCCAACGGGGGGGGGGGGGAAGATCCCTGCAGATGGGGTTGATAGGGAGGTCTGTGTAACGGACCATTTTCGCCCACAAGGGGTTAAAAACCGTTTAGGCGATATTCACCTTTTCCCAATGCACAGACAGCTACTGCAAGCACCAATCTCCCGAACGGCAAACCCACGAATTTACCAACTCCCGAACTGCAACCAAGGGAATACTCGAAACTCCCGAACTGCATACCAAGTAGTACTCCAAACTCCCGAACTGGAGACACACGAATGGCTGTTAGCAGATGAACAGGAAAAGCACCCAAGCGGCTTACACTCCTGGCAATCAGTCTGTTGGGTAATCTAAGGTTTTATATGTATGGAATATAGATTGAATAATATCTGATGATATTCACACACACATAGAGCCTTCAGGGACCCTGTAGTTCTTTGTTTTAAGCGGTGATATAAACACTTATGAACGGCAGATGGACAATAAACAGATGTTGCTTAAAATATATATAAATTTAATAATACACACTATAAAATGCAAAGCAACAAAACAATACAGTTATAATCAATTTGCCATATTATATATGAGTTTCTATCAACAAGTCAATTAGTTTACTTGACAAGCCTAAGAGTCAACATTACACTTTATCTCATCTATAATCTTAGCAAAGGACAATAAAAGCTATTACAAACTTCACAGCAATACCAGTATACAGACTTAATCATATGACACCCCTTGCATTAATGATACAATTGTCATTATATTAATTAGTTAACTATCAACCAACCCTGCCAAGTATATACCATCAGTTTAACTACAGTACGTTTATATAAGGTTTCTGATAGCCTTAGTATATATATATATATATATATATATATATATTTATTGAACTTATCTACGTCTAAAGAAGGAATCAAGACTGTTCCGACTTAAGAAGTTATATCTGACTCAGGCTGCAGGTAGAATGAGATATAACTGTTCTATCAATAGGGATCAGTTCACCATATAGACACATAGGATATTCAATAGTCCAGTTTATTTAATATAAAGTAAAGAGAAACCTTTATACATTACCAAGAGTCTAGGATGAATTAATTCAATTTGGGATTCTTCTCTCTGGGTGCTCTGGTCTGTAATTCAGTCTATTGCCCTTAGTCAGTCAATCTCCTCCTTTCTTAGCCCTCTGTTTTCTCCTTTGATCTTTTTTAAGATGATCTGAAGATATTGATCCTCTCTCTTATTTTTCTCCCTATTTAACCATTATTTCCCCCTTATCAGTTCCTGCCCCTTGTTTGTAAATGGGCGGTACCTGGGACTTAAATCTGGCTTTTGATTGGTTATGGGCGTATCTTAATATTTAATTATTAATGTGGCCCTTAGGGACTTTCATCAATAAATGGCACTATTTCCCTAGGTATGAAGACCTGAATTAGATCATTGATGACCTGGTTAAATAAATGAATTGACCTTTAATTCACCTATACTGGGGATATTTCAAATTACGTTAAATATCTGTCTTTGGTTATGTATATTCTTTAATTGAAACAGGGTTGGTTATATCAATCATCATGCAATATGTCTATATCCTGTATTAATCTAACCTGTATGATTAACTGATTTATACATTCATCTTTACAAAGAAAAATAGAATCTAATTATATTAGTATATCTATATTACCTTTTACCCCTAAATCAGTCAAGGATGCAGTTATAGACATTACTGTAGCAATTACACATTTAGTTTACATTTGTATAGCATGCATGATTCCAATAGATTCATTTAAGTTCTAATATCCTGAAAATATGGAAGTGACCTCAGACTTTGGGTTCCTATGGCTGACAAACACTCTGGATTGCCTGTGATGTTTATGCACAAACAATTGCATAGTTTGTATACCCCTTTGAAACTCTGTGAGTTTAAGTATCTTGGATTGTAAAGTTCCATTGAGTAATAAACCATTGTTCTTGTTACCCTTGTGCACAGATAACTCACAAATTAAACTGTAGATAAGTATTCCTCCTGTTTACTTCTTAAGGTTACAAAATACAAAGTTCCTTTGACCTGTGTTGAAACAGCATTACGTAATGTCCAGGCCAGTCTACCAGCATCCATATTGTTTTCTTTTAATATTAAAAATTATGGGGCACCAAATAGCACAACAAGTCTCTAACAGCATACAGTAAATGTTTTGAGGGTCAAGCAGAATCTGGTTTACTGGGGCTAACTGCATGGCTTTTATGCAGGTCTCCCACCTGGTGGACACTCTCCTAGGGGACCAGATGGGAGACTGGGACACAAAGGGTACAAGAACCAATCACAGACTTACACATTTCAACCATCATACCGCTGCCACCAATTGTAGCGGAGCTGCAATATTAAATTCCACGATCTCTGCTGGTACAGAAGGTAATCCAAAGTAAAGTGCTGAAAAGTAAGGCAATATCCCAAATCCCCCAGTAACCGGATGAAACACAGTTCTGGGAGTCAACTGAAGTTTTTATTCACAGGTCACAGTATTTATGCAAGTCCCCATGCAAAGGGTTTCCCTACTGACATTGCAGGGGTTGTATAGTAGGGGACTACATGGGAGAGTTAACAATCTGGACATTTCTCCCATCAGGCACTGCTGGATGAGAGGAATACTCCCACTGGAATATACCGTTAAGTGGATTATCCCTCCGTGCAGCAGAACCGACATTTTACATTAAAATACATAACTTTGCCATCATTCACTTTATTTAAACGAATGGACGTTCGGTAGATAGCTGGGGTCTGAGCGCACATTTCGTGAGACTACCGCTCAGATCCCAGCATAAATAACCGAACACTGCACGAAATACACTTTAACATTGTGTTCGCCTAAAAGTACCGAACACCGATGGGGAACCAGAATAGTGAAAGACCGGAGCTCCCGAACGGCCGCGCCGTTGAGTAGCCGTTTTCAGGTCCACGCGCTTGACGACCAAACACCGCTGGTGAAACAAAGGATCCAAGATGGCCGACCGCTGCGTGGTCGGTAGCCGAACGACGGCCACCTTGGAAAGCCCTTAACTACCGATTGCAACAATGTTGCAATCGGTTAATGGGTGCCACACGACCCTCTGTGTGTGGGCTACTGGGGGGTAGCTCATTAGTTTCAAAAAAAGCCGGCAAATCTCCATTACACACATTTTCAGTAAAAGACATAAAATTACATACAGTCACATTTATTACATAAAACATATACATCCTACCTATCCCCAGATAGCTTAGATCTGAGCGCACATTACTACCACATGGCGCTCAGGTCACATACATACAGTTCAATCGCCATGGAGCCAAAAGTCTTTCACATAGTCTTTCGTTACATGAATAGGCTCCATGGCTTAGCTATCTGGGGTGATGCTGTTCATCCGGTTAAACTACCGAATGAACTGTGTGGCTTGGACGCCGGACGGAATGGCGGCGTGAAACAGGAGCTCCCTGCAGGCTCGGCACCATTACCCGCCTCACCAGCCCCACACAACGCAAAATGGGCAAATCTAACCGGCTACAGCAGGCAGCAGCGACTGCCAACACCCCGAGGGGGTCCCAGACATCGGGCATGAGACAATTCCTCCTGACTCAGGCGGATCACGCCTCCCAGGCCTCTAGTGACTCTGAGGCCTCGGGCCTGGCCCGCCCGGCCTCACCATGCAGCAGACACCCGAACAGGTACAACTTACACCTGACCTACCCCCATCCCAGCTGGACTGGGCATCCCTGCTGAGCAACCTACCCACGAAAGCTGACCTTAAAGAGGCAAATGCCGCCCTTCACAAATCCATAACAGGGGAACTCCATGCCTTAAGGGAGGACATGCAGGGGTACACCATAAGCTAGCATTGTTGGAGGCAGACTGTGACCACGTGACATCGGCACCACAAGCGTAATACAGCGGCAGGCGATACAACTGCGCCAAATGGCCCTCCACATGGAAGACCTCGATAACAGAGGGAGGCAGCAGAATATCAGAATTCGGGGCCTGCCGGAGGAACTTGACCAGACCACCCCAATACGAGATTCCCTCACGGAAATCTTCAATTCCCTCCTGCAGCGGCCGAATACGACGCCTATTGACTTTGTTAGGGCACACAGGGCCCTCAGACCCAGGGGCCCGCCGGAGTCCCCCCCAAGGGACGTGGTATGCTGTTTATTGCACTTTCAAGTGAAGGAAGACATCCTGAAAAGCGCTAGGGATAAAAAACAAATCCTCCATCACGGCGCGGAAATACAACTATATCCGGACCTATCTCCAGCGACCCTGGCGTACCGCCGGGCCATGCACCCTCTTACGCGCACACTACAAGCCAACAAGATCAGGTATCATTGGAACTTCCCCACTGGCATACAAATCACCACAAGCACCGGCTCCTTCACAGTGAAGAACGACGGCGATATGAGGGACATTGTCCGGGAACTACAACTACCACATATACAGCTGACCTGGCCGGACCCGATGGCCTTCTATGAGTTTTCACCCGAAGCACACCGCCAGTCGCAACAGCCCACCAGACCACGAAGAACTAGACAGCAGACCACGCACCCTACAGGCGCCAACGTGTAAGGGACTGCACACCGCCTACCTTCCATCCCGGGGCCTCACCTCGGCCCACCCGTGGACTAGCTACACACTACCATATCCGACTACCAGAACCAGAGACAATGGACACACTGCGCTGACCCCTCCGAACCGCAAGTATACCTCCCACGGGAGACACACCCAGCCACATAAGCAGAGAAGCACCGGGGGGCGCACCTAGGACACAGGAGCCCGGCCATGCAGAGCCCTGTGGCCTACTGGACTAATTTGAACTTCCTATGATAATGCAAGGTGCAATGGACACGAGTAACATCTTGTCCACATACTTAGGTTTAGGGGAACAGGGGGGTGCCCAACCCCCCGGCTGGGCCCGGCCGCCGCCGTTCGCCAGCCCTGTGATGAACCTCGGGGAGCCGACGGGGGATGGCGCCGGCGGGGCACACCCGGGGTGGAGACACTGAGAGGTTACGGAGGGGAAGGGGGGAACGGTCGCAACTAGGCCACACAACCGCAAGTATATCTCCCACGGGAGACACATCCAGCCACATAAGCAGAGAAGCACCGGGGAGCGCTCCTGGGACACAGGAGCCCGGCCATGCGGAGCCCTGTGACCTACTGGACTAATTTGAACTTCCTATGATAATGCAAGGTGCAAGGGAAACGAGTAACATCTGGTCCACATACTTAGGTTTAGGGGAACAGGGGGGAGTCTAGGGGAACAGGGGGGTGCCCACCCCCCCGGCTGGGCCCAGCCGCCGCCGTTCGCCTGCCCTGTGATGAACCTCGTGGAGCAGGCGGGGGATGGCGCCGGCGGGGCACACCCGGGGTGGGGACACTGATAGGTTACGGAGGGGAAGGGGGGAACGGTCGCAACCAGGCCACACAACCCAGACTAACCCGTAGATCAGCCACACACTATAGATATGGGACAAGGAGGGCACGAACACGTAAGTGACCACCCAAGTGGGCACACCCAGATTGACTAAAACGAACCCAGTGACCCAGGGACACGAGCGCCCTCGCCTTGACCCCGGATAAGGGTGCCCCCAACCTCAGAGAGTGCAGGGACGAGGGACAGGTTTACTCACGCTAGATAAGCCAACCAATGGAGGGAGGGGGGAACGGGGGGGAGGGGGTGGATGTGCAGCCCTGCACCATGATAGAAATGTCAGCTACTTGTTATCACCTGTTGTGAATTGAATCTAAATGTTATTGTTACGGTTCATGCCTTACTACAGTACTTTGAACAGACATGTTGTGCAACACGCACGCCGGCTCTCGAGCCAACACACCCCGAGGCGGGGAAGACCATCACATTCCATTGAGGTAGCACCCGGGAGCCAAAAAGGGGCGACATGGGACCCGACTTGCCGCACGGAAGACCGACACCGATACACCCAACCATTGCCCAGTAGGAGAGACGTCACTCAGACGGTGAGATACCCACGTGTGCCACTGGTGGCGCTGTGGATTGAGACTCCCCGACGTCTACACCTAACGGTCCCGAGACCACTGGAGATCACAGGGAATCTCCACGAATCCCAAGATACCCTATCCCCCTTCCCTACCCCACCTTAAACCCTGACACCTTGTCCTCAAATTGACCACGACGAACAGGCCATACCGGGTACACACACACAGCAGAGACTTGGACAACGACACCCATACAGCACCAACCAATAGCCAACTGACCAGACGACATGACACTGACTCCCGCCCCTCTGCATATTCTCACGATCAATGCCAAAGGCCTGAACAAACCAGAGAAGAGATCAGGAGCACTAAGAGACTTTCATAAACAAAGGACCTCGATAGTCATGTTGCAGGAAACACACTTTCAGAAGGGGACCAGACCCAAACTAACAAACCAACACTACACACAAGGATACTACAGTGACTACCACGGGGGGAAAGCTAGGGGGACAGCAATACTTTTCCATAAGCGGGTGCCGTTCCAGGAGGGGGGCTGCTTATCGGACGATGAAGGCAGGTACTTATTCCTCAAGGGGAAAATAGCGGACCGTCAGTACACGTTCGCAACCATATACGCCCCAAACACACGACAATATCGCTTCCTCAAACAAACACTCCACAAACTCCAGGCGTTCAAAGAAGGGACTCTCATATTGGGGGGTGACTTTAATGTCGCATTAGAACCATCATGGAACACTTCCACGGGCGCCTCACATATCCCCAACCAACAACTCCAGGGCATCAAATCCCTACTCCGGGACCACCGGCTGGTCGACTGCTGGAGGGCCCACCACCCAGACGCTCGAGACTTCACTTTCTACTCCCATCCGCACAACTCATACTCCCGCATCGACCACATATACACCTCACACTACGACCTCTCACTGGTAACTGGCGTCATGATCGGAACAGCCACATGGTCGGACAATGCCCCTGTCTCCCTCAAAATAAAATCACCACTATTCCACCCCACATCCCCAAAATGGAGACTCAATGAATACCTGCTCTCCCACCTGGGAGTCACGACCTTCATAGGCGACAAAATCAGAGAGTACCTTGCCACCAATACGACGGAACAGACATCACCGATGATACGCTGGGAGGCACACAAAAGTGTGATAAGAGGTCACTATATCCAACAGGGGGCATTACTAAAAAAACAAACCGAAGCCCGACTGACTGTCCTACTAGACGACATACACAAAACGGACGAACAAAACAAGCGCGACCCAGACCACACACACCAGACCCGACTCCTACAACTGAGGAGGGACCTAGCGACCCTACTGCATTCCAAACACCACAGGGAGGCACTTAGAAACAAGGCCTTCTTTACCCTACATGGGAACAAGAGTGGCAAGCTCCTCGCTACAATGCTGAGGAAACAGAGACAACACACATACATCGACAAGATTAGAGACAAACAGGGGACCCTACACCGTCTCCCGACTGATATCATGAGAGCGATCCGTGCATACTACACTGAGCTATACGAACTTCCACAACCAACAACCGAACTGGCAAAGGCACACCTTCACCGCTCGATTCATGACTACCTGACTAAATACCCGATACCGTAACTAGACGCAGAAGTCGCTGACCTGGTTGACGAACCCATCACAGTTGAGGAACTAGCGCGAGCGGTCAAACTCACTAAACCGGGCAAAAGCCCGGGGCCGGATGGCTTACCGGTAAAATACTATAAGACTTATGCCGAGGACCTTTACCCACCCATGGTGGAAGCATTCAACGCGATACGAGACGGGAATCACATCCCTACACAGGCCCTAACAGCCCATATCACCATCATACCCAAGGACGGCAAAGACAGAGAGCATTGTGGGAACTACAGGCCAATATCGCTAATCAATTGCGACATTAAGCTACTGGCCAAGATCCTGGCGGTGCGCCTCACCAAGCATATCCCATCTCTGGTCCACCCTGACCCGGTGGGATTTGTGACAGGACGCGAGGCACGCGACAACACCATCAGAGCGCTCACACTTATGCACGGAGGTGGGGGCACAGATGGAGGCCTTCTCTTGTTGTCCACGGACGCAGAGAAGGCCTTCGACAGAGTGAGCTGGGATTACCTCTTCGAAACGCTATCCCACATGGGGCTGGGTCCCCACACGCGACGCTGGATAGAGGCGCTATACCAAGCACCGACGGCCCAGGTGCTAGTTAACCGGGCACTGACTGAGACTTTTACCATACACAACGGCACGCGACAGGGGTGCCCCCTATCCCCGATCCTGTTCGCTCTCGCCCTGGAACCATTCCTTATACACATTCGCCACAACCCAGACATAACAGGCCTGACGACAGGCCAAGTACACCACAAGGTAGTGGCGTACGCGGACGACCTACTTTTTGTGGTGACCAACCCCGAAATCACCCTTCCAAACATTCAGAAAGACCTGCGGACATTTGGTGACATATCCAACCTAAAAATTAATTACGGCAAATCCTACATCCTTAATGTTAGCGTCCCCGCCACACGAGCAGACCCTCTACGACGCAGTTTCCCCTTCCAAAGGGCTGAACATAAAATTAGGTACTTAGGAATATGGCTGACCAGGCAGAGCAGACACCTGTATAAGGACAACTTCGCCGATATACTGCACACGTTCCAAAGGGACTTGAGGGAATGGTCCTACCCGCACATATCGTGGCTCGGGAGAGTGCAGGTCATAAAAATGAACTTTCTTCCGCGCCTTTTATACCTCTTCCAGGCCATCCCCATCGTCATACCGGGCCCCTTCTTTAACACACTCAGAAAATAAATGATAAAATACGTATGGAACGGGGGGAGGCCCAGAGTGAAATTTTCCACACTGACACGTCCTAAAGACAAAGGGGTTCTAGCCCTCCCAGACTTCCACCAGTACTACGTGGCCACACACCTACAGAGAATCATGGAGTGGTCTAAAGACACAACCGATAGGGGCAACATGTCCATATACACGAGACACACCATGAGAGTGTGGAGGAGGGCCGCGAAGAAAGGGAATATGGCACCGTACCCCTCCCCCCTCCTACCTCTGACACACAATGAGGATTTCCCTCCGGGTTTAGACCCAAGAGCCCTCAAACACATCCTCCCGGACATATCCCCACGCCTACACCACCTCCTCCAAGGAGGGAAATGTAAAACGCTCACGGACATGATGGGAGAGACGCCCCCGACCTTTATGCACCACTTCCGACATGCCCAACTGACCAACTATGTCCACTCCCTGCCACAGGGACCAGCACTCGCCAGAGACCAGACCATGATAGAAGTGGTCAGCTCACACCCAGACCCGCTCCCACACGGAGTGTCCTTCCTATACTCCATGCTCCAATCAGAAACCCCGTCTGAGACACCCCTCTTCATGGGAAAATGGGAGGCCGCCCTGGGTAACACGCTAACAGAAGCAGAATGGGAAACCATCTGCTACCTTACACACCACTGTTCCATCACAGCAAAACACAGGAAACGGCCTACAAGCTTCTAACACATTGGTATAGGACACCACACCTCCTCCACCACGTAAACCCAGACCACTCCAGACTCTGCTGGAGATGTGAACGAGAGGTAGGCACCACGAAACACATTTGGTGGGATTGCGCGTTGATCCAACCGTACTGGAAGAGGATACACAAAATACTAGAGAAATTCACGGATGCGCCCCCCCCCCCTTGAACCGGCAGCGATGCTCCTACACCACACAACAGTTCCCCGCTCCAGATACAAAAAATCTATGACTATTAGAATACTTAACGTGGCCAAACGAGTGCTCCCCCAATTCTGGAAACAAACAGTGACACCCCCACTTTCAACCTGGTTTAGCCAAATGGAGGAACTCAGGACGATAGAGGAACTGACCATGACGGCCAATACTACACCCACTACCTACATGAGCATTTGGACACACTGGATTCTAGAGACGGTAAAAGAAGAATTCCAATTAGAACTCAGACCTAACACTAACGGACACCACGACACAGACAGATAGAACTTAGAACACACACCTCAGACGACGCTAGACGGCCGACAGACGAACTGAACGGAACCACCCCCCTTTCTTCCCACCCCGATGCAGTTCCCCCCCCTCCCCTTGAACCACCCAAGCATTATCATTGACTGAATCATCCCCACCGCACCCACAGCAATAAGGGATACCATAATTAGGAACGACAACAAACACGAACTGGTACACACGTCCAGACCAGTCCGGGATGACACCCCAAAGCCAAAACACGCGAACACCTGTGATATTCCTGGACAGGCCCGGCAATGACACGGCTAATGCCGTCACCACATGCCCAATAAAAGGGTACCCCCTACCCGCAATATCACCATACCCCTGGTTAAACACGGGAAATACTGATAGTAACAGCGGGGGAAAACGCAAGCCAAACACGGACAATACCACACGGCTAGAGACACAGGACCCTATGAGACGCCCGACGACAGAGACCATAGGGGAAGCCTAGGTTCCCAAGCTCCCACGCAGAATGAGCCCCTGACATACAGTGTGACCAGACAAGATAGCAGAGGAACGCCGACACATAGATGGAACTCGAACACAACTGAAGGGACACAACGCATACACTATAGTACCTACGTGTACAAACGACACAGAGAACGAAGCTCACTCCACAAACACTGACACCTAATCAAGGACTGATTAACCCGGTTCAAGGACGGTTACCTGGCATATTGTTCACCCAGTTTATGAAAACATAACTTAAAGGACCACTATAGTGCCAGGAAAACATACTCGTTTTCCTGGCACTATAGTGCCCTGAGGGTGCCCCGACCCTCAGGGACCCCCTCCCGCCCGGCTGTGGAAAGGGGAAAGGGTTAAAAATGTACCTTTTTCCAGCGCTGGGCGGGGAGCTCTCTGCCTCCTCTCCTCCTCCGTTCCTCCTCCTGGGCTGAATGCGCACGCGCGGCAAGAGCTGCGCGCGCATTCAGCCCGTCGCATAGGAAAGCATTTACAATGCTTTCCTATGGACGCTTGCGTGCTCTCACCGTGAAAATCACAGTGAGAAGCACGCAAGCGCCTCTAGTGGCTGTCAATGAGACAGCCACTAGAGGGAATAGGGGAAGGCTTAACCCATTGATAAACATAGCAGTTTCTCTGAAACTGCTATGTTTATTAAAAAATGGGTTAACCCTAGCTGGACCAGGCACCCAGACCACTTCATTAAGCTGAAGTGGTCTGGGTGCCTAGAGTGGTCCTTTAACTTATATTCCCGAACAAGCGTAATACCAGAAAATGGGGACCTGCGAATCCTTCTACGATGGGGCCTGCGAGCCCGACTTGTTACCTTTTGTCATACCATGCAATGGAGACCTGCGCGTCTCATCGAACCTTAATACATGCAAAATGAATAAAAATCATATTCACAAAACTACTGAATGAACAGTCATTCGGTTCCGCTACCGAATGGGGAGGTAAGGAGGCTGGAGGCTCAGCGGTGTTCGCGCCAATAAGTGTCCATTTTCAGTTCCATAGTTTGGGCGCTGAACACCGCTGGCCGTTCGGGAGGTAAAATGGCAGCTGTCATGTGTTCGGCAACCGAACAAAAGCCACCCAGCATTCATCAATTAAGCTGCAGTTAACCGCAGCTTCTGGCCGGTCAATTGACGGCACACTCCAGTTCCCAGGTGGTCCATCGTTCGGTAGTTTGTTCGGTAGATTGAATGTACCGAACACCCCGGCAGAAAGGCACGAATAAACCTTTCAGCAAGGAAAATAACAGGTCTGAACTGCAGGGCCATAATCTAAAGGGAGCAGGCGAGCAACCAGGCTTCTCCAGTGCATAGTGGCGAGGTTGGTTCCACCACAGTCTGAAACGAGGGAGACAGCTTCCCGACATTCAAGATTTTGTATAACGCAGCGGTTATCTAGTTTGCACTGCATATTGTATCTCAAACACGGTTCATGTTGGCACCCTGGTGGTGCGTTTACAAGTTGGTCTATGTTCCTTCTACTCTGGAGCTTCTTCGATGTTCTGGAGAGACTGGAGCATACACCCCGTTTGAGCCTGGCTATTGGTAAGACCAGGTGAAAGAGGTTAAGACACATTGAAGACAAATTGCTGCTCACCTTCATACAACGTATTGGTCTCATAGATGTATAGAGAGCCCACCATCCAGATGACCGCGACTATACTTTTTACTCGCCACCTCATGGCACTTATTCAAAAATTTACTTATTCTTGGTGAACCCCCATACAGTGCCCAAAGTGTCGGACTCTACAGTGGGATCTATTACGTGGTCGGACCATGCTCAGGTCTACTATAGTGACACAAAAAATCAAAGACACACTTCTCATAGACAAATTAACCACTCAGGTCAGGTCAGGGGTACTACAAAGAGGTTTGAAAAGGTCTGGGGCCCGTGGATAGACAGCTGTGTGGGTGATTAGGGGATGGGTGGGGTGAGCTCATTTCCCCACATACCCCTCTCCATGCAAAAGACTAGTGATAGCCGTTGAAATCGCCCATTTCTCTACCTTATTGTAATGACAATACCCAATACGCAGAGTGAAAAACACCAGAACAATAAAGACAGATAGAAAGTCCCTAAAACGGTCCTTAGAATGGCCGGAATAAAAGAATCTACAGGGAATGCCAGAAACAAGCCAAGGTCAAAGGAACACAGAAATACACAAAATCGAGGAACGTAGCCGAGTCAGGGAAACCAGAAATCAGAATAGTCAAGGGCAAGCCGGGTCAATACACAAAGAATGGTCAAAGAACACAGGAACGCTCTGAGGAGGTACTAGGAACACAAGGAACACTAGGAACCACAACAGGGCATTGATTAGGAGGCAGACTGGGCTTTTATATGATTGGGAGTGTGATTTAGTGTAGTGTAGACACACATGATTTACATTCTCTACTCTTTTCCTGCCGGTCACGACCCGCCAAACAAACTAACGTCAATGTAGTGAATGCAGAGTGTGTGTTAGTGTAATGAATGCAGAGTGTGTGTCACTGTAGTGAATGCAGAGTGTGTGTCACTGTAGTGAATTCAGAGAGTGTGTTAATGTGTAGTGAATGCAGAGTGTGTGTCAGTGTAGTGAATGCAGAGTGTGTGTCGGTGTAGTGAATGCAGAGAGTGTGTTAATGTGTAGTGAATGCAGAGAATGTGTTAGTGTAGTGAATGCAGAGTGTGTGTCAGTGTAGCGAATGCAGAGAGTGTGTTAGTGTGTAGTGAATTCAGAGTGTGTGTTAGTGTAGTGAATGCAGAGTGTATTGTACAAGTGTATGTAGTGTGTGTGTTGTGTTAGTGTATGCAGTGTGTGTTGTGTTAGTGTATGCAGTGTGTGTGTTGTGTTAGTGTATGCAGTGTTGTGTTAGTGTATGTAGTGTGTGTGTGTTATGTTTGTGTATGCAGTGTGTGTTTTGTGTTAGTGTATGCAGTGTGTGTTGTGTTAGTATATGCAGTGTGTGTGTTGTGTTAGTGTATGCAGTGTTGTGTTAGTGTATGTAGTGTGTGTGTGTTGTGTTAGTGTATGCAGAGTGTATGTTGTGTTAGTGTATGTAGTGTGTGTTGTGTTAGTGTATGTTGTTGTGTTAGTGTATGCAGTGTGTGTGTGTTGTGTTAGTGTGTTGTGTTAGTGTATGCAGTGTGTGTGTTGTGTTAGTGTATGCAGTGTGTGTGTTTTTTTTATTTTTTATTATTCTTTATTTTTGCTGTGCATGAAATAACTTTCGCATGTCATCAATGCCATAACAGTATTCTTAAACAATTTGAAAACACATATTAGTTGACTGTTGTACAGCATTCAGATCAAACGCACAATTTTTAGGTTAACAATACAAGCTGAGTACAAGCTGGGTAACTACGTCTATCATAATGGATTTCTTTGTTAGTAACAATAGCTGAAGATGAATATTTATGTTGCATCTCGGTGTCATCTAGATATTTAAAGTGTATGCGTCATCTAGATCTAACGGAACGTCTAACAGATTATAAAACCACTGGTAGTCAGTATTGGTGCAGAGAGTCAGTATTGGTGCAGAGAGTATTGGTAAAGTGAAATGAAGGGAGCTGCTGCGATGCAGAAACTTGGAGTCTGCCTGTTTGCCTTCATGCTGTGCCTCCCTTGAGCTAGTGTATGGGGGAGAGCCCAGTGTCAAGTAGTGTACCTAGATTAGCGTGGCTAATAATATAGGAGTGTGCCTAGTATTGAGAGGTGACTGGGCAGTAAGCTGTAATATTAGGGGAGGTTACCCCAGGCTAAAGAAGGGGAGCTGTAACCCTCTGGGTCGTACATTAAACAAGGTGTCAGTTCATGCAGATTAGACAGTTCGACAGCCAGAAGGTGTGTTCTCACGATGTGAAATACGGCTTGCCGGCTGTGGGGCTGAGTAATGGGCGTCTCAGCCTATGCCCAGTGCTGGAATGTCCCCTGGTCTGTCGCAGCAGGCACCTCCAATGGAGCTTCTGGGCTCGGTTCCCGCTCCAGCGGTGTTTGGCATGACGGTCTCCTGTTCAGCAGTGCAGAGGTCATCCAATGCTGTGTGGCGTGGAGCTGTGCTGATCTGTGAGTCTTGGGTCGGGTGGGTGGTGTGCAGATGAGGCTTGCTTGATGCAGCAGCTCCCATGTGAGCGGGAGAGTCTGTCTGAATGGTGTGTTACTGTTTCCCGCTTTGTCGTCTGCAATGTCTGCTCAGCTTGATGAGCGCTCTGGATGCGTGTATTAAGTACCCATATTGGCGTCGCAGGGCGGATCCAGGAGGCCACTGTTTTGACTTCTAGGAAGTAGGGCATTCCACACTGGCAGAGCACTGACCAAAATCTCCTGCAGAGCCGATTGAAAGCCTTCAGAGATTGCATAGGTGGCTGGGTTAATGTGCTCTTTGTCTGCGGCTTGCGCTGAGCCGCCATCTTGCGAGTGCCTTGGTAGTCCGTTGCCCCCGCAGATTATGTAGCCGGTAGGCTTGTCTGAGTGTCCAGTGGGGACCGGGATAACCCCCACCGGTCCAAAGGGGGGGGTAGGAGACCAGCAAAGTCGCCTCTCCCCGGCTCCAATTCCAGTAGGCCGCACATGGCGTTCTGTCCCAACGGGCTCCAGAAAGGTGTTGCTTGATTCAGTGGTGTGCCCCCGATCTGGGTGGCGCACCCTGGTAGTTCCTTGGCCTGTGTAGCCACCGATGTTGCCCCAATTTCTGTCTGCCAGGCAGGAGCTTGTGAGACCCACGTCTGCTCTGCCTGGTGATCAAGCTCCAACCCTGCAGTGTGTATGTTGTGTTAGTGTATGTAGTGTGTGTGTTGTGTTAGTGTATGCAGTGTGTGTTTAAATGTGCAATCTGGGAGGGGGAGGAAGGGGCATTTTCACAGGAATTTTCTATTAAATTTAATTAAATGTTTCTCCCCCTCCCTGCTTCTTACCTGTGTCCAGGGAGGGGGGGAGATTCATTCCCTGGTGGTCCGGTGGCATGGGGGGCCCCCCGGCTGTTCTCCTCTCTTCTCTCTTCTAATAAATCTCGGGGGCCCAGCACACTGCCTGTTCTCCTCTCTTCTCTCTTCTAATAAATCTCGTGAGAAGGCCGCAGGTCTCGCGAGGGTTATTAGAAGAGAGAAGAGAGGAGAACAGGCAGTGTGCTGGGCCCCCTCTGCGGTAGCATGGAACCGGGGGCCCGCGGCTGCATACATAGATATTCACTATCTATGTGTGCAGAAAGGGAAAGTGGGACCCGGGACTGCCAGAGCAGTCCGGGCCACCCAGGACCGCGACAACTATCATGGTTGACACCCCCTGATGGCGGCCCTGCAAGTATGCATTGGGCAAATTAGTGCTGATAATGCAAAAAGAGTGCTGATAATGCAAGGAGGCATTGTGCAAAAGAGTGCTGATAATGCATTGAGACATTGTGGAAAAGAGTGCTAATAATGGATATCCTGGATGTATGAAGTCTGCTGGAATTCCACAGCCTGAAGACAGAGAAATATCCAAGGTAAGAAATATCCAAGGTTCTTGGATGTCTTTTTTTTTTTTATATATATAAATCTTTTTTTTAAATTCATTCAGGTACAGATACAGCTTTCAACTGTAGTTTTAAACACTGTAGAAAATTACTTAGCAGTAAAATAATACGTATAAATAACAATAGAACCGTGCTTCAAATATACATCTACCAATTTTCTGCTGTATCTACAGCCGTACAAACATCCCATACATACAATTCAACTTATCCATACCACATTTTCACTACTACCTACAATTAGCTATCTATAGGGGGGCAGGGGGATTTGAGTTTTTATAATTAATATATCTAACCCAAGGGACCCAAACTTCATTATATTTTTCTCTAGATATCTTGTTTAGAGCTATCCCAGCTTCCATGCTACGTTGGTAATCTATCTGTGTACAAATATCGTGCCAATTTAACACACCCATTTTTCTCCAATTTCTAGCCATAACTATTTTTATTGCCATACAGATGTGGATCATAAGAATTTTTAGTTTTATATTGCTTTTTGGCAGGTCTAAATGAAACAAAAACATTTGAGGCGTAATCACAGTCTGAATCTCAAACACAAAATCCATCAATTCCGCTAAAATTAATTTCATAGGTTTCAACTCCTCACAGTCCCACCAGATATGGGAGAATGAACCTAACTCCCTACCACATCTCCAACAATCTGGTAGAAGTGTGGGTTGAAATCTATGAAGGCGGGTAGGGACCAAGTACCAGCGGTATACTAATTTGAAGTATACTTCCTGTATATTCACCCCATGTATATATCTTTTTACTGCTTGTAAACCCAATAACCAGTCCTCGACCGAAGATGAAAAATGAAGTTCTTGCTCCCATTTATTCATTGCTGGCACTTTATCTATTTGCCTTTGACTTCTTAAAAATTGATTAAATCTAGATACAATCTTTTTTTTTATAATGGGATTCTACGAACTGGTCAATTGGAGAAGTTTCCGAAAGAACTTTTCCCATAGTAAAAGATTTTATTCTTAAATAGTTAAATATTTAGGTTCTTGGATGTCTGATTGAAGTACACACATTTATATGACAAGTTTTAAAAACCTAACTCTAAGTCCACACACACTTGTTTCTATCAAGTTATGTGGCATTGATTGCTGTTATCAGTGCATTATCACAAATAAGCAGGCTTTTGCAGACAGTGGAAGAATATACTGCACAAGAGACCACTGGGCCTCACTATCTGTACATGAACTGGTGGTGGTACAGCATCGGTATGTTTCCACCATATGCTCTAATGTATGAATTGGTATGAAGTCTCAGTATATATATATATATAACCACTATATGCTCTATGTAAGAGGAAATGTTGCAGTGTAAGCATGCAGAAGCCAAACACAGAAATATTGGACACAGGTCTTCAGGAAGTAACAGGCATTTATTCACATTACCGATCGGGTCTCAGATGAACTCCTGTTCCAACATTCTGAGAGACCAACACATAGTGTACATTCCTTATATAGCACTATAACTCCTCCCATTAATAGCTACACCCACATACACCTTTAACCAATCAATGAGCAGAATATAGACTTGTACATCTAGTCAAACCACATGGCTCATACAAGACAAAGGAAATAAGTGCAATTCCAGTTCCTGCATTCCTGCACATGCTCAGTACATTGATGACAGTATCCTAGCTACATGTAGCTAACCAACTGACACAACATACACATATGCCACATGGAGATTTTGGCCTACTAAATTTTGACCATGCTGGAATCCCATCACATTCCCCCCTTTGATGCCTCTGATATAACATTATTCCAGATGCATCACCAATCACAGTTTTACCTACATCTCTCAAGTAGCCATTGAACCAAAGTAGACCTTGTAAGCATCTTAAAAACTCCTTCAACATTCTTCATCCTGAATATATTCTCTTCGGGCTAGGGGATCATATCTTCCAGACAGCCATTACATGAGCCGCTGTCTTTCTCTCTATAGTACTCTCTATAATACTACGTAGGGACCTGACCACTAATGGAATTAGACAGGGCAGGAGGAGGCACAAAAAAAATATAATAAATTCTACTCCTCCTACTAATGTCTTAATTCCTCCAAGCTGCTCATACCAACTTCCAAACCAACTACTTAGGT